TTTTTTTTAAAAAAAAAGCAAAACAAATATTTAAAAAAAAATATACTTATATATATATATATATAACTGTAATTACATTAATGAAGAGTATTTTTTTAAAAAAAATATTTGTACATAAAAAAATGGGCGAAGGTAGCTAGCTATATCTCGACCATTATGTGCCAACAACCCCATAGCACCTAAGCCTATATAACTGTCCATGACTGCAAGAATTTCTGCTCCAACACTTCACCGGACCCCATGTCAGGTGAAGTCTCATGCTCACGGCCTGACCAGCAAATTTTCAAGAGCAAAAATGTTATTTTATTTGTTGTTATTTTATTTACATTATTTTATTTCACATTTTCATAAAAATTCAAAAGGTTCTTTCCATTGTGTTTAAAAAAATATACGAGCAAATATTTTTTTATATTATATTTTAATTAAAAAATTAAAAAGTTATTAAAAAAAAAGAAAGTATGTTTGCGTTGTGTTTAATAAGTTGATTCACTTGTTTTTACAGTTGATTTCATGGTTATAAAAGAAAAAATTAAATGATTATAAATTAGATATGATATTTTATCTTATTAACTATTTTAACATATCTTATCTTTTATTGAATTATTTTAACCTAACCCCTTCTAAAATTGATAGTACTTTTTTACCTGCTGGTGATATTGATAAATAAAATTTAATTTGCATATTTTATTTTTTTTCTAACTAGGTTTAATAAATAATTATTTTTAACGAAAAAAAAAAAAAAAAAACAAAAACCAAAATATAGCTATAACATAGAGAGATTATTTATACTAATTTATGTACAAACACCTAAAATATATATAAACAAACAAAAAATCACATAAAACTATAAAATAATACAAATTAATAGACTAATAAAATATATGTTAGTAGGTCAAATGTGTAACATTTAGTCTTTATTCAAGATCGAACCACGTTAAATATTGTGTCTCTTTTTGAATCATACATTGCTTTACACCATTTTTCCATTTCTAATAGTAGTATCAGAGTATATAAAGAAAATTATCATAATTTCCACCAACAATGGTATCAGAACATACCACCAACAGTGGTATCAGAGCATACCACCAATAATGGTATTAGAACATTCCACCAACAGTGTTATAAGAGTTTATAAAAAAAAATTGTAATAATTTTCACTAACAATGGTATCAGAACATACCACCAACACTGGTATCAGATTTTATAAAGAAAATTATCATAACTTCCCACCAAAGTGATATCAGTGAGAATCTTGGTAGGTGAGGATCTTGAGAAGACGTCCTCCCCCCCCGACTCTCTTTCCTTTTCCCTCCATTTCTCCTTCTCCTGCTTTTTCCTTCATTTTCTCTTCATTTCTCTTTTTTTTTTTGATTTGATCGAGGGTTCTCCCCTCTGTCTGTCTATCCCTCCTTCTCTACACCTCCATTATTATCAAATCTTTTCTTTCCTTTTTCTCTTCATTTCCCCCTCTCCTCATTTTTCCTTATCCCATCATTTCTTTCCTTTTTCCTTCATTTATTTTTGTTTGGTTTGACAGAGGGTTCTCCCTCGCCCCCTCTTCCCCTCTCTCTCTTTCTCGTCAGATTCTTTGCAGGGTAATTTTGGATTTGCAATAGTGGTCTCGAATTTTGCAAAAATTTTGAAAATGTTAGAGAAAGTCAAGTTTAGTTTATTCAGAGGACCTGTTTGGTTATCCAGAACCTTTGTTTCGGATTATTGTCCGAATTTTTTCTTCACGTGATCTGAATGGATATGAGGTAATACAGCCTATTACTCTATTGCTATTACACTTTGCCTTCTCTCTTTATTATTTGTTTATTTATTTATTAGGTATTACACTCACTTTGAGTGTGTTTGATTTGTGTTTGAAGATAAATTTTCAGTTTTAAGAATTCCCCCTTCCGTACTGTTTCACTGTTTTGTATAGACTGACTGTTCACTGTACCGCTATCTAGGGTTGAGTCCCTAGTTTGAATGAATGTAAATATTGTGCATACTGTTCTGTACTGTTTATGTATTAATGCATGAAAAATCTTTTTGGCATACAGACTGTCACAGCTCAATGGACACTATTTACTTACTGTATTGGCTTCCGCCAGGCCCTGTACTCTGTTTTTCTGTATTACTGTTAAGCAGGCCTTCGGTAATCTCGGATTACTGGCCGGTTACGGTGCTAAACCCATAGGGCCGGGTTTGGGTCGTGACAAAGTTGGACCATGATGTAAATATACAAGACTTTTTGGGTTCAAGGTTTGTGTTTATTTTGATGAATCTTTTAAATCTTAAAGGATTAACCCTCGTGAAAGAACTAATGTTTTTTTCCCCCCTCCTTTCACAGCACTCAATCAATTGAGGTTAGCCCTTTGTCACCGTAATGTTTTGAATTTGAGTTCTTATTCATTGCTAGAATCCCAGTGAACTTCTTTTTTGACATCTATTATTTAAATTGTTATGGACAGGAATTATCCAACCAATTGAGGATGATGCGAGCTCAACTTACAGAAGCACACAGGAGACTGAGGTGCAACTTTGAAGCTCATATTTGTTAAAGTATTACCTCCCCTCCCCCTCCTCCCTTTTCTTTTTGGTCTTGTGAATCATAAAATTGGCATGATATAGTTATGCCCTGAAATTGGCATGATACAAAATTGGCATGATACTGTGTGGGATGAGTACATTGAGTAAGCATTTAGTACAATCCTGGGCCATTTAATTTAGTTATAGAATTTGATGCTATTCACATTATGAACATTTGGTGATTTCATGAATTTCAAACCAAATTGACTATAATTTTAAGCATTAGCATTGTTTAGAATGCCTAAATTCACCTTAATTTATATTTTATTTAATAAGTTTTGTGGGAGTAGAAATGTAGTTGTGGGCTACTTAATACAAAGTTTATAATGTCCTCTATCCATCTGAGCTTTAACTCAACACAAGGAGTTCAAAGTGGAAAATTATGAAGCATGTTCAAATAACAATATCTTAAACCTTGAATCAAATATAACAAGCATCCTAGTAGTATTATCCTGTCAAGATCCTCTCCTACATATTATTTATATACATGCTATGTATATATGTACATATGTAATAGATGGTAGTCTGCAAATGTTATTTGATATTAAAGGTCCTCTAATTGTTTGAAAAAATGTCTGACTAAAAAAAAAACTGTGTTTGCTTATCTATGATGACTGAACAATCACAAGTGGAATGATAATTGAGTTGATTTTGGAACCAATGTCCTTTATACAAGCTGCTATGCATATTCTTTCCTTTTTTCTACAGCATTTGCTTGGATGTGTGTTGGAGGAGCCATTTATCAAAATACTTGACATTTATGCTTTCCTCATAAACTTCAAGTTTATGCTGAGAAAACTACAAGGGCATTTTCAAATATTTTAACTACCTAAATTTCAACTTTATGTTGAGAACTTAGATGTTGAGAAAATTGTAAGGGCATTTACAAATATTTTAACTACCAAAATTTCAACTTTATGTTGAGAATTTAGATATTGCACATTGTGTGTTTTGAATGGATGTATAAATTTTGGGCATTGTTGAGCTAGATGAGTTTTATTTATTTATTTTTACCTCCTAATTTTCTGTGGTTATATACTTCTCTAAATCCAATTTTAATTTTCTTGTTCTTTAATGGAAAAAAAATGGAAGTTCTTTTTGCCCCTCTTTGGTTGTCTTCAATTGGAAGATGAGTCTCTTTGTTTTGACCTATATATTGCTTATGCATGTGAATTTTGGTTTTTGGGTCAACTATGATTGGAAGTGTGATGAGGTCTCCACTGTGGTGGCGATTTGTTTGATTTTGTGGGTATTCATAGTGTTCAGCAGTGAATCAAACGAAAATTGAGCCCAAGGATGGAAGAATACGACACAAGCTTCTATTAAGGTAAAGACATACATGAAGAATGTTAGGTATTTCGATTTTAGGTTCCTTTTGATCCAGTTAGGGTTTGTAATGTGAATTTTGGTTTTTGGGTCAACTATGATTGGAAGTGTGATAAGAGAATTGTTTAAATTTGTAGATAAAAATTATGCTAGGGTTTGAGTTTTATTGCGTTTTGGTCTAGGTAGAGACGACAATTTCTAGGGTTATTAAGAATTGATGAGATAGGAGAGTGTAATGAGAGGAGTGTAAAAAGAATGCTACTGATCTCTATCAACGAACTCATGATGAGTAGTTTTAGTTACTAAATGCTAAAGAATTGCAAGTACATAAGTTTATCAATTAATATTTCATTATCTTTCCACCTACACTCTATGGGCAAACAAATAGACCCTGAATTTTAAATTTGTTTCAGTTTTTTTTATTGAAGGACTTGGGCATTTGTGCAATGTTGTGCAACCAAAATTCAAATTACCTTTAACAATGAATTCAAATTACCTTTACCAAAATTCAAATTCATTTTGATATGTAACAATGAATTACCTTTGCCTAGAGGCGGTTCTGAAAAAAAATTATTATGTTGGGATGTTGGAATATACTTCAAAGTCAAAGGGAAATTAGCATTACTTGAAAAAAAAAATTGTGGTATGCATTTCTGGATAGGGAACTTTATGATTATGATTTGTAATGAGTTATTTTTTTCTACTGAATCATTTTTCTATTTGGAATGATTGTTGTATTCATAGGTGTACTAAGTAGGATGTAAGAATTTATGTATTATTGATTGATTGATGTTTGTAATTGTTGTATTTATTACAATGATTCATGATTCCTATATATAGAAGAGGGTGTACTTCAATTATTTGTCTTTTTTATTACTTTAGTTTTTCATGAGAGAGAAAATTAATGTGGGAATCTCTTTATTTTGTTGTTTTGCGGTAATCTAAAGTGACATTGCTGATAGGATATGAGTCCAAATGGCAGTTTAGGTGATTTCGAAGATAGGTAATGGTTATTTCACAATTAATAGTTTTTGTTTTTGCATGAAAATGGGATGCAATTTCAGCAACATGAGTTTTTTTTTTTTTTTCATTGACGGGCTATAGAGAAGCAAGAGCTAGGAAGAACAAGTACATGATCTTTGATGATGATAGTTACTGTGTGGGATGAGTACATTGAGTAAGCATTTTAGTACAATCTTGGGCCACTTAATTTAGTTATAGAATTTGATGCTATTCACATTATGAACATTTGGTGATTTCATGAATTTCAAACCAAATTTACTAATCCACAGCCATTGGGGTATACTTGCTAACACCAGACCTGTAAAACTATTCCTTGTGATCCTAATAGATATTCTTCATTTCCTTTCCACAACAAACATGTGGTTGACCAAACGCCAATTATTATTTGCATATTTATCAATGGATTCTCTTTGGGTCTTTCTGCAGGTGAGGTCTGCTACTCTGGACACGTGGCTTCCTGAACAGGTTGCATTTATTCAATGTAAGCTTGCCTTCAAGTATCCCAGTTCAATTTTTTTTTTTTTTTTTGCTTGATTTTGTTCCAATGCTATAAAAAGAGAATTTGAATTTGGTTTTTCTTCCCCCTATACAGCTATGAGAAATGAGAAGTCAAATAGTTATTGGGAAGCTGAGTTGCCCCCTAATTACGACAGAGTTGGGATTGAGAATTTCATACACACAAAGTATGCATTTCTTTACTTTTATTAACCATTCTCCTTTGTAAAGCACAGTGCACCGTTGTTGTCTAGTTCGTCAATTGCTCGTAGTATTAAGTATACATATTTTTTATATTTTAAAGGTGTGAAGAGAAGAGATGGGTTCCTAAGGATGGCAAGCCAATGTCACCTTCTAGAGTAATAGAAGAAAAGGCTTCTATGCAATGGTAGAGACCTAGTGATAGGAGTGGTCATGGATATGCTAACAATTCTCATTTTAATATTGAGAGGGGTTGGGATCATAATTTCAAGTATGAAAAGAAAAAAAAAACAAAATAAATACATAATAAATGGTTGTCTTACTAATGTAATTGGATAACTAATCATACACTAACTCATGGGATTATTAATCATTTCACTAGTAATCTTATTAATCAAACAAGGCCCAAGAGTAATATCTATTTATACTGACTATATAGAAATAAAATTATATCGGAAGAAATAATTTTAATATAAATAGAATTCCAGTCAATGAAGTTTGAAACGAAACATGCCTACAGTAAACAAACGAAATTAGCCAGTTTGATAAAAATGAATTCTTGTGGCTCATAAGCAACCAACACACTCAGCCCCTTCCTTTGCAGTATCAAACTCAATTACTTTTAGTGAAGAGAATGCAAGAATGCATTTTCAATGGCTCATTTTTTTGTGGCACTGACTGTATAAACACTATAGCGACCCCGGTCTTCTCCCATTTGATTATTGTATCCGGACTTAGGTTCCGTAGATTCTGTCATTGTATAATTGTTGTTGTTGTCCCTTATTTTCTCCTTTGGACTTATAGGATGTGTTGGGTAGGTTTGTTTTAGGTTGGTTGGGTTTAGAAACCAAGTGTTGCTGTCCAGAATTTTGGATCTTC